GTGGGGGGTGGAGAGTACCGGAGCCAGAGGAAAAATGACTCACTCCTCTGAGAACAGCCTTTTCCAGACCTCGGGCCAGGCAGCTGGCTGAGGGGGCCCTGGGGCTGGGGCACCCTCAGAGCTCAGGCATGCCAAGTACCCGAGAGCCCCGGGGGCCAAGTATGGCAGAGGGACCACCTGTAACCCATCCTGAATGTCCCCCCACTGTCAGGCACTGGCAGAAGTTTCTGAGGGAGCTTTTGAAATCCTTTGTGCTCTTCTGGTTCTATAATTCAATCTATGAGCTAAGGGAGGCCTGAGCTGGAACAATCTCTTCCTTTCCCCCAGCAGCCTTCCTTTTTGGTGTATGGAGGGAAAGAACCACAGAAACAACAGAACCCAGTCAAACACAGTCAGTTGCTACTTAGATTCAGACATACCTTATAGCATTTGTCCCTCAGGAACAAGCATGCACTACAGTTCTGCTCTAAGAGATCAGTTCATTCGTAGACCTCAGCCCTGACCCAGGCACCAGCATTTTGGGTGTTCCTTCTACCAGGTTCTCACTGAGCTCTGGACTTTAGGTTTCCAAATATGAGGTGAAGCATCCCAAGGAAGTCAGGCCCACCCACCCTGCTTTCCGCAGTAGACAAGAGTATGTGATTTTTTTCTTCCTGGATAATGAATAGTAGTTCAAAGGTAAAAGTAGGAGGTTGACATTCTTCTAAAACTATTGGTTGGTCCAGACACACTCCCGTCACTCTGCCTATACAAATGCAGGGAGAAACGTCTGAATCAAATACCAAAATCAAACTAGTTATTTCTGGAGGGAGGGATTTGGGGTCCATTTTTACTTTCTTTTTTTCACCTTTCACATGCTGCTTACATTTAAAAAAACTGATCATCCACGATATTTATAAAAACAACCCATTACTTTAAAAACTGTTGAAGGTGGAGGCAGTGAAGATGCATTTCAGCTCATTCATTCATGCTCACACGACCAATTTTTAGTGAGCAGTTAGTTCATGCCACGCTAACTAAGGGTACAGCACTGAGCACCATGCCAACTCGGGGTCTAGTGGGAGAGGGAGACAGCAGAGAATACACAGATGAACAAGAAAAACACCACAGTAATGGGCATAGTGCAGAAAATACAAATTGGGGGTGGGGGGATTCTATGAGGAGGTGACATTTAGATGGAGAGTTGGATAATAAAGAGGAGCCAGTCATGGGATGTCAGGGGATAGAGGATTTGATCAGAGGAACCACCATGCAAAGCTCAGGAGGCAGGAACGCCAGGAGGGTTAGAGCATCTGAGGGAAGAACAGAGGGGCTGGAGGCAGTGAGGTGAGGTGAGCACAGCCGGCAGGGCCCAAGGCACAGCAGGCAGGAAGAAAAAGATTTCACTGCAAGTGGGATAGGGGTTTTTAAGCAGAGGAATGCATGATTTGATTTCTGTGCCAAAAAGATCTGTCTGGCTGTGTAGAAAACGGACTGTGGTGTGAGCATACAGGAGTGGAAACAGCCTCCTTCTAGGAGGAAGATATTTAATGATCCAGGTAAGAGCTGATGGTGGCTTGGATGACAGGTCAGGGTTTCCCAACCTTAGTAATAATGACATCTGGGGCTGGATTGTTCACTACTGTGGGGACTGTCCTGTGCCTGTAGGATATTCAGTAGCATCCCTGGCCTCTACCCACTAGATGCCAATAGCATATTGCCAAATGTCCCCTGGGGGGCAAAATCTCCCCTGGAGAACCATGGGCCTAGGGGTGGCAGTGCAGGCAGGAAGCAGCAGACACAACCTCAGTGTGCTCTGAAGGTAGGATTAACAGGTGAACCTGCCAATGAACTGACTATGGAGAGTGAAAAAAAGAAGAATTGAGGAAAATGTGCATCATAACATAAAAATTTGATTTTAAAAGAAAGAGCTGTTCTAACTCCTTTTATGAAATGACCCTCTCTTCTTCTTCAATCACTTTCATTCCATGAGGAAAGGTTCAGATGGAGGTGAGGGCCAGGAGCTACATGGTGTTATCAGGAGGCAGGGTCGCTGGAGCTTTCCAAGGTCCCCTCTGTCTCCATTTCCTGTTGAAGATGTTGAGTGGGGAGCTAGCTTGCACCATCATAAAAGCCTGTTATGAGCTTCCCCGAGAAAAGTGCTACATTCTCCCAGACTAATTAGCATCATCATTTTCAAGTCCTTGAAGGCTGAGGGAAGCAAAGACAGAGCAGTTCAGCATTTCACTCTGGAAGGGGTGTTAAGTAACTTGGCTGTTGGCCTCCACTCTGGTCTAAATGTGTCACAGCTGGTGTGGAACGTCTGGGGGTGAGGTGGAAAGGGTAAAAGTGATTCATTCAGAGATGAGGCAACGCTGCTCCAGAAAGACCAGTTTAAACTCAGTGGTGCCCTGAGGCTACTCTGCCTCAAAGCNTGTGTGAACAGGGAGAGGGCCCTCTCCAGGTGCTGAAACTGCAGGCACCTTGAATATAGAATTCCCAGACCTCCTGAACTGTGAGCAATACATTTCTGTTGTATATAAGCCACCCGGTCTATGCTGTTCTGTTATAGCAGCCTGAGCTGTGACAGGGGCTAGTGCAGGTGACACTTCAGTTTGGGGTTCTCTAGTCAAGCAGCCTGGGAGAAAGCAGCTCCCAGACACGTCTGCCTCCTTCCACAATACTGTGCCCTCATAGGCTTGGGGTATGATCGGTCCTCGTGCCAGCTGGCCGCGTGGTGTTCTGGCCATGTTCTGGGATGAGGAAGCCAGTGGACCAGCTGCCTCCTCCCTGGAGCCCCTGTCATGAGAATACTCACGGGAGGTACACGTGCGGGTAGTCTTCCCAGAGGCTTCTCGGGTTTGTTAAATATCCTTCCTGTAGTGGGAAAGGAGTCAGCATTTAGAGATGTGAATGTGAGGCCTGCTGGGGCCCTGAACAGGCCCCGGGGTCAGAGGTCAAGGGCGCACCTAATCCCCAGCTGCCAGAAAGAGGAAGGAACAGGAAATGTGCAAACGAAGGACCCTCCACGTGGGGCTTCCCAGTGTCTTGACTGTGAGAGAGAAGCGATAAGAGGAGGAAGAGGTCTGCTGGGGTCAGAAATCCGCGTCTGAACGTAGGCCTGACACTTTCGAGCTGCGTCCTGTGAGCAAGTTACTCCCTAGGCTTCACTTGGCTCCTCTGTAAAATGAGGATAAAAATACTTACCCTGCCCGAGTTATTGTTAGAAATAAATGTGACAGCTTATGTTTATGCGACAGTGTCTAGTATTATGCCTGGCATGTGGCACCCAGGAAATGCTTGTAGAATGAATAAGCAACTAGACTCCAGAATCACTGTCCACGGGCAAAACGAAGGGCCTACTTGGGCTTTTCTCATCACCACAAATAAAAAGAATGTCAGGCCTCGCTACAAGGCCGGACCCTATATGCCTTGTCTGTGTCACACATCACGCTGCATCATTATTGCCAGCTGCCTCCATCACTCTGCAGGTTCCTTCCGGCTGTGGTCTTTGCTTGCCCTTCTTTATATCTAGAGCATCTAGCCCAGGGCCTCATAGAAAGTGGGCAACCAGACCTCTTCAAGAGCAAGGGAAGGTAACCTGAAAACCCCTTCATCACAAAACATCTAGAAATGCTGAATGAAATCTTCCCAGTATTCTTTTAAATGCAAACAGGAGCTCACAATAAGAAAGGGAAAACCCCTAGGGCCCCAAAAAAGGATAGGGAGCAAAAAACCATAGCAGTAAGGTGAGCTTGTGGGGCCAGGGTGTTTGTGCAGATGTGGGAACAGAAGATGGCACCTTGGGAGGTGGGACTTGAGACCCTTATGTAAAATCTGTACCCTTAAAGGGCTAAAACCTCAGAGAGAGACAGAGTATCAGAAATAGTTTGATGACCAAGACAGGAAGATGAAGAAGATGCCTGCTCACCCTCGGCTCAGGATGAAAACAAAAATATTATCCCTTGAAAATCTGTAACATTGGGCTCACTTTCACTTGAGTTTGGAGTTCAAATTTATGCCAACTGTGTGGTCCAGGAAACACCAGGCTAAGAAATTAGTATTAATGGTATTGTGGACCAGTGATACAATTGGGACATACTCTCATCTAAGGATGTGCAGGCTTCTCACATGTAAAACCTTGCTAAAGATGAGTGTATGAGCCAAGATTACAAAACACACAAGGAAACAAACCACCATGAGAAAGAGTTGGCTGACACTACACTCAAAGAAGGCAGAGAAGGTTAGAGTAGTATGAACTCATTTCAGAGACAGGGACGTAAAGGAACAGACAGGAGGGATCTCGTGAATCAAGATGAATTTTCAGCAGCACAGCTGAAAACTCAGCTGGTCCAATAACCTCAGGCCTGGTCGCTTCCATAAGTCAAAAATTTAACAGAGCTGGTGGCTTTGATCAAGAGCCTGAGAACCTCAAACGTTCACACCAAGACTAGGGCAGGGGGTTGGCAGTGCTCAGGAGAAGGAAGAGGCCAGCACGGTTCAGTGAGACGCACTCTAGCTTACTGTCCATTAGACCCTCAGTTTATTTCCAAGTCAGGGCTGAGCCACCCACCCTCGAGGCACTAAGTGCCCCGGGACATTTCTGGTATAGCCCACAGCCCGAACCCCACAACCTGGGACCTCGTTACTGCACTGTCCTAACTGATAGGTCCAATCAGGCACATACACCAGTGTAGCCATGGTGACAGATCTGAAGGAAAAGGTCTCACCCCAAACCCTCATGGCCTCATTTCTAGTCTCACTACCACCACCCTTTCCCCCTCGGGCACACACAGATTGAGGCACAGATGTGGAGGGCTCTGGGGAATGTGGAGATGTGACGAGGGCTTTCCTACACCCACATGGCCGCCTGCACCAAAATGTCCCACCCGAGCACACAGGGATATGTGGCCTTCCACTTGCTCTACCTCATTCCAGGGGAATCACAGAGGTGAGACTGCTCCTTCCTAGAGGAAGCAACGATGCATTTAAGGAGGAAAATGGTACTTCTGGAATGGAGGTGGTGGAGGAATGTCTGCCCAAAAAAGACTTGCCAAGAGAGATGGCACTGAGAGAAATCTAAAGCCCAGATGACCTTTGAGCTTAAACAGGAACCCTCCTCAGCAAGGCCCCTTTACTTAGGAGACAAGGAGGTCAGGACTTAGAAGCCAACAAGCAAAGAAAAGTCTCCAGAAAAATGCTGTCTGCTTGTGAACGTCCAGTCCTCGGGGACTGTGCAGGAGGGCGGGGGGTG